GGATTGCTGGTTTAACTGTTAACAAAAAGATAGATCATGGTTATGACTGGTATGCTGTGGTAATCTGAGAAGGGGATGGTGAGTGGTTACCTGTTGTAGCATCAAGTAGACTGGAGAAACCCCCCCACCAAACCCACCTACTAATTTTTAGTTACTTATGAATCATTTTGGCAAGGAAACCTATTCGTGGCTTTTATGCATATTATACACCTAAACCTATTCTTTTTTTTCCTGAAGTGAGATATGCAGAGTTCAAGCCTGAAGTCAAAGTTAACTGAAGGGCAGAAACTGGAGACAACCAAAGAAATGGGCTTGGTCTAACCACGGCACAGTGACTGGCATAAAGAATGCGGAGCAGGCTTTGGCAAGCTCACGTATCTATCCACATGAGCAAAAACTGAATGGTGCTATAAACTAGGAAAACAGAGCGGATTGCAAAGAAGCATAAGAAAACCATGAGAACAAAAGAGTATGCAAATCCAATACAGCTAGTGATGTTAAGATCACTGATGTGGCAATTTATTTTGTGATTTGCAGTCTTACTTCCCTTTCCATAGAGACTACAGGATGATTCACTTTGTCCATAACACTGACAAGATGACATTTGTCTATAGCTTATGCTAACAGAATTAAAAGACCAAAAAAATCTTTAACGATTTAAGGCTTGTCACATCTCTGACACTGATAATGAAAGAGGGAAACATGTCCCCTTGCCCATGTAAGAACTGTATTTGAAACCAAGACCCTTCGCTTCTCACGCTACCACACCATGCACAGGAAGGGACTCCGACGCGTAGCTCTGGAGTGAAGCCCCTGTGCAAGAGGAGACTTGAGCACTGCTGGGTGCAATCCAGAAAGCAGGTGAGGTGCTGCACAGGCAGACACTCGGGGCTTGTTGAAAGAAGGGCAAACTTGCAAGTCAAATAGCAGGGTTTAGGCAGCAGCTGAGAGATGTGGATCATGGTTTTAAACTCCTGAATGCTATCAAAGCCCTGCTCTTGGTATTGAAGTCCTTTATTTTGATCTAGTTTCCAGATCCAGGAGGTAATTTGTCTGCAATGTGTCTGCGTTCTGATGGTACAATTCCAGGTCAGCATTAACCTGACTTGTATGAAGTTCAGCATTATTCTGAAATGAATATTGCTAATACTGAAACTCTGATACTGAGCAAAGTCAGAAGTTACTCTGAATGTGTGCTCTCCTTCAGCTGTCAACAAGTGATAAAGTAGCCTTAATTTTCTGAAATGCTTTATTTATCTTTAGTTTTACACCATCTCTTGCCTTTCCTCTCAAAATCAAAAAGTCATATACAATGACTGCCTCCTTAAGAATAACAAAATTAAGATTTTAAGTCTAAACAATTCAATACATTTGGCTAATTTGTTCTCCCTGACCTGATCTCAACTGTGTTCCTCACTTCCTGCACTATGGCAATTTTCAGTTCTAACTGTGTTTATTTTTAATTTCTGTTTGCTCCTAGGAACTGGAGTTTCCTATTTTCCTTCTCTCATTCTCTTTTTTCTAAGCACACTTAAATAGCTTTCAAGGGCACATATTTTTTTAAGTGAAATGTCATTTTGCTTTTATTGAATCAGTTCTCTAGTTTATTTCTTTTATTACAAAAAATATTGCTGACTTCAGAGATCCCAAAGATATGTTTCCTGCTAGCCAGAAAAAGAGTTAGAAAGACAATTAACCTACAGAATGAAATCATCCACTATGAGTGATTAAATTATATGGAGAACTTTTGCCTCCCCTTCCCTGGTGCTGTATAATCACAGAAAAGGCTTTCTCCAGACAGAGCCCTCCTGTCCACATTTCTTCTCTCTGATGCTTCCAAGCAAAAGGCTGTCACTAGTCCCGCCACATTCCAGCTTCTTCCCTGAGGTACCTTACGGGGTTACGTCATGCTGACCTTTCTGCTGAGCAACCAGTTACAAACTCCTACTGCCTACTGAAAGAGGCAGTTCTGTTCCCCTGTTCCCATACACACGTGCTTCAAGCACGGATGACAAGAGTTAGCAAGTTACTACAGTAACATTTAATGTAAACAGCAAATGAGGCACAGTAATGAGCACCATCACAGACAAAAAGTCCAAAACCCCCACAAAGTTGCCCTCTTTAACCACGCTTCCAGCCAGCCATTCTCTTCAGCAGAGAATCGCACCTTGTCCCACAAATACACTCCAAATTGTCCTCAGGAAGAAAGCTGCAACTGAGGCTCTACTCACTCCTCACCTCAACATTCATGACCGTTCCCAGCTGGCTGACCCCATTTTACCTGGCAAACCAGTGAGCAGTTTGCCAGGGAAAATACTAGCTACCCATCCTGGCTGCAATAGGAGGAACAAGGCTGGTAGTTTTGTTTGTAACGAGCTCCCCAGCTTCCAGCTCCCGTCCCAGCCCTTTACAGTAGTGATGAGGTTTGGAAGAGTGAAGAAGCGGGGAGATCTGGAGGCTCAGACTTTCGCACTGCAGCTATCAGCCTTGCACCACCGAGGGCAGCCCTGCTGCCATTTGCCTGTGCCCATCAGCTTCTCACTGGTACGCCACCGCTGGCGTGGCATTTGAGATTCCTCAGGGCAAAAGTACCAGTGGACAAACGATTAGCGGCGAGGCACACCATTAACGAAGGGGGTGGGGGAGAGAGGAGAAGAGGATATGACCAGTGACGGGGATCTGAGGAACAAACCCCCAGATAGTCCAGGTACCTCTTTCATTGGGTGAAGGCCGACAAAGTTCATGAGGCTGGGAGACACTGAGCCTAGGATTTTGAGGGGAAAACAAAGAGGCAGAAAAATTTGGACTTTGATCTGGCAGTCTGAGTAGGACAGGCTGTGAGGGAGCTCTTAACAGCCATCTACCTTGAACCAATGAAAGGCAACTTTAAAATAGAGGCAGGACAAATCTTACTTCAAGTGAAGAAGTCCTGCACAGATGTGTGTAATAAGGGATAGAAACACAGCTATAGAATAGCATACTGCAACTGATTTCCCTGGCATAGATAACATTTAAATGCCAGATACTAATTTGCATATAAAAACAGGCAGGCAGGCAACAAGGTTATGAGACAGATCAGGTCTAATCTCAATTCTCATATGCAATCCCCCTAAAATCCGAAACATTGCTGGCAAGATCTCCCTGTACACTCCTGACCAAATCCACAGTTTTTGCTCCTGTAGAATAGCAACTGCATGACTGCCAAGACTTTGCTAAAAACCATCATGCCAAGAAACCTGATAATTGTTTAGTTCATCAACTTCTTTAGAATAAGTATTTGTTATAGCTTGATATACAAAATATATTATCTAAGACCGTTGGGTAACTAGCTTTGTATAGCATATAGCAAGCATTTTTGGACCTAGGAGAGCAAGGAAGTCTGGCTCATTAACTTTTCTCCCCCTTCTTTTCTATATGCAAGTCCTCCCTCTGTAACCACCATACAACACAAGATGCTTACAAGAAGAGATAAGGTTTGTTTCTTTTTCACTTTTACCTCACGTAAGAGAATGCAAGAGGTGAATAACATCAAAATCTACTGACTGACCTAAACAAATGCCATTGTTAAAGCAATGCTGGCTTACACAGAGAAAAAAGAGCTTTATGTTCACAGCAGAATGTTGTTACGACAGTAAAGCTGATAATTAGTGACTTCTGTTCCCTTCTGTGTTGCATGAAAATTAACTGCACTGTCTGTAATGCATCTCTATGACATGATTTAGACAAACAGCTGATGAAATCTTCCTCACTTGTACCCAAAACACAGCTTTGTTCAGGTTTTCATTACCACTGAAATGTTTTTTTTAACTTAGAGTCTCGGTTATGCTGCAGGATAGAATAAATGCACTTATGCTAGAGGTGACAGCAGGTCCATTTAAAGAAGCACATGATTGGACATTTTTTACAATCGGGAGAGAAATCTGAGTACAGACCCCTCTCAGTTAGTCCTAACTCTGTTAAAAAGTTCAAATGTACAAAATACAATGTTTGGAAAGTTCATATTCCCTCTGAATTCCTCCTATGATGCTGAGAAAATAAAATAAATTCATATTGCTATGAAATTCTATTTTTGCAACTGGTGACATCCCAAGCTTTATCGATTATGAAGACTATAAAATCCTCACCCTAGTCCACATTTCCAGCGTAGAGGCTAACAGCCCAGTCAAGTAACACAGCAATAATCTCTCTTCCACTGAGATACTTTTATTCACAAGGCAAAAATTGGAGTTAGACTTTTAGGTTGTGGGCAAGGCACTCGCAAAGTGAGCAAATCTATTTTTGCTCACAGAACTAATTTAATGTTTAAGTGCAACAAAAACACTAAATTAGCCATGAAGATCATGCATATCCAACAGCTCTCACCAGACATGACTGTGACCCAGGCCTCTAAATACAGAAATATTTAAGTCCTAAGGAATCAGCTCTATTATTTTCTGCTTCACCAGATGATGTTTCCTTTTAACCAGTCATAGAAATATAATTTCCATTATAATAATTAGACATTTATTAAAATACTATATATTTAAGAGTTAATATATGGTTTCTTTCTGTAATAAAATATGGAATACTCTTTTTTCCAATGATATTCATACCCCAAAACTTAAAGGAGAGATGTTCATGCTGAAAATAGATCAATGTACGGCACTAGGTCAGAAATAACATCTCCTGATTAAAACCCCAGGATCTTACTGTGAAACTGTACATTGATTAACAATTCACTTTTTCCTTTTATCCACATATTTCATTTTCAACATCTGGCAGTGAGTGAAATATCCGGATTATCCAATACTGAAGCAAATCTAACTACCTCAGCGTATTTGTTACAGTCCATCCTTCTAACAGACTCTAGATACTTGTCTTTCAGAGACAGATTGCTCTGTGTCTTGGATCAGCACCATTTCCTACGCATGCAGGGCACAGCAGAATGTTACATTGCAATCCTGGGTATTTCATGCCTGGTACTTCATGCAGTGTCCTCTTTGCAAGTCTCCATGTCTCTCTCAATGAGGCATATGCACACATTTCCAAACAAATAAGCTGTGTTTTCCAAAAGATATTAAATATGAGATGTAAAAGACCACAATATTGTTGAAAGAAATGGCTAATACAGTCAAAAGAAAAATTTCAGTTAAAGGTATGATGCTGTGAAAAAAAGCTATGAACGTATTTTAATTTATTAAATCTTAACTGTTCATATTAACATCTGGGCTATTTATTTTGTTGCAAATATCCATTTCTTTATATACAAACAGAAAAGGAAGCACTCAGATAAAAAGATGAAGACTCTGAACCTGACCTTTATCATTACACATATTCTTTATTCTTACACATATTGTTGTGGACTGTCCATGTCCACTGCTGTATAATTTTTGAAAACAATGGAAAGGATACATACCTGCAGTCATCCCCTCCAGCACTGACCACGTATCTATCTCCACTTGTAAATCGAATATTAGTTAAGTGGGCAGAGTGACCTAAAAATCGTTTGTGTTTTGCCTGAAAAAAACCAAAAACAACAATAAAATGAGAGTCTAAATACTCTGTGTTTCCCAAAATCAAACAAGGCATGCATGTTTTTATCTACCTTTTTATCGCATCATGTATTTATATCATTCAGAATGTTATATACGTTTTCAAACATGAAAGATCTCCTGAAGAAGAACTACTATTGAGCTGCAATGCAGATTAAATTGTCACCAAATGAGACAGCACCTGCAAACTGGGAACAATGCTCAAGCTAACACAATAAAATGAAACATAGCTTGTCACATGATTAACCTCTAAATTTTGTGTAAAATTCCTAACACTGAAAAAATTATTTTCATTATAAGTGTGTAAGCAATTTACACCTTGCAGTCTCAAATCCTGACAATTAACAGTGCTAGTGTTAGCGAAAAATCTGTAAATTCTTCATCCACAGAAATACACAGATAGGACTACATTTACCAGCTGTCTTCCTCGTGTCAAATGGAGGTTGGAGATGTGGATAAATAAAACTAAGAGCTTTGAGGTTTTCAGTATGAATGCACTATGTGAATGCAGACTGGCAGACAGTATTAACACCCACAAAAATTTGTAGCGAGAGCTATTGCACAAAACGGTGGGAAAACTTTGAGGTGAAGCATCCTTATGACACTATAGAGCTAAAGTTACACAGATGCATTAAAAACCGACAAATTTAGAGAAGGAAATATTTCCATCATATGTCTTCTAGAGAAACAATAAAAGACCATAATATCAACAGTACTTGTTGTAATGATGCAAAAACAAGTTCTTACAAATTTTTCAGGACATGGAAAGTCAAACAGTTTGACCATGCCAAAATCATCGCCTGTTACAAGATTGATTCCCGAGTGAGAGACACAGGCACAGTTTACATCAGCTTTTTCAGCATGCCTGGACCAGATTCCAATTACTTCATCCCCCAGAACACTGAAACAGAAGAGCAAGAGATTGTTTTGAAAACTACAGCAAAAACAACAGAGTAAGGAGACAGTAAGCAGCTCTCATTGTAACTGGTTTTATAAAAATGTAACTTTTACATTTTATTCTTACATCTCATATAGGTTTTACTCTGTAATTAATTTTTGTATCATTCCACAATTGCTTCTGAAACTGGTTCAGTGATAATTCCCAAAATAACATGGCCCATGACAACACTAAGAGGCAGAGATGAAATCAACAGTACTAAAATTGTCCAGTGAGGCATTTGCCAAAAAAATGCATAAAGAAAGGACAATTAAAAATAAAATGTCATAGCATAAGCATTAGGTGAATAAGTTTCACTTTTGGAAAATAAAAATTTGTATATTGTCATTATAACTATGTTTTGTTGATTCTGTAACATTTTCATATCAATTAGATATAAAGTTTCCTCGAGTCCAGTGAAGATTCTTCATTATCATCAGAGAAAGACAGAGGGAGAAAAATTGTCCTAAACAGAAAACATAATTATCTTAAGATCCCAAACCAGACATTTATAGAAAATTTCCTTTGCAATGTCTTGTGAAAAGTTTTTTTTTATTCAGCTTTTATTCAGCATATGCATACTTCCAAGAAGGCACAGAAACAAGCACTTTATAATTTGTTAGTAGGTGAATGATTTGGGAATTTTTCCGTGATTCTCTCCCCCCAAATCAGAGCACAGTACACTACATTCAGAAGGGAATGATGTACTTCAGACATACTGAACTGGGACAGAAAACACAGGTTTCTTGTTTTCATATCAAAGAGGTGACAAAAATGGATTACCCAAACAGAAAATAGAAAGCTAGCAAAACGAGTTTTTCAGAGCCCTCTGAAAAGCCTGTGGTTTTAGTCATGACTTGCAGCAAATGGTCAGGATTATTATTTAAAGCAGTTTATATGTGGAAAATTTTCAAGTATTTATTCTCAATTTTTGTCTGAGGGTGCTAAGCAGAGGACAGTAATTGAAAGCAGGCAAAGGAGCCTGAAATAAGGCACAGGAAATCAGATTTGCATAGAATATAAAATAAATTATTTAAATATGAAAGAAAAATAAAATATGGTATCATTCTTCATGTAATTTCTAAGTCTATTTTGAACGAAATATAATAACTTCAAGGTGTTTAAAAGTACTTTTGTTTACCTTTAAATATGCAAATGTTAATAGCAACTTTAATATACAGATACCATTAGTGTAATATTGTAAATAAAACTTGAATTATCAGTCTTGTATTGTCTTTTCATGTTTTGATACATTTTAATTTTCCCTGTACTCTTATCCCCAAATCACTATTTTGAAGCAAATAGTGCAGTATTCCAGGTAATTTGCACAGTGCAATGAAAAACTACTGAGGCTGCTAGAGAAATAGCAAAGGAAGCTAGAGATACACAGTGAATAGAAAGGCACACATTAGAGAGATCAGTTTTTATCAGATGTCCTGGGCATCTGCTAGGTACTGTCTTTTGTTGTGCTGTACTTACCTATCTGTTGCCAGAGCAGATGGGTGCATTAAAAGAAAATATCTGACTCAATGAAGGGATGAAATATGCTTTTAAACAGCAGGTGCTTCTCCTGGAAGTTACAAGTGTTTTAGCAGGTGTAAATGTGTGAATCATTTACCTTGTCCAAGTAGCCCATGTTATTCTGTCAATCACAGCCTGGTCCACAAGCTGTTTTCCTGAAGGCACTTCATAGACTTGCCTTTTGTAAGACCCAGTAGAGACCTTTGAGACGACCACAGAGAATTTAGAATACATGAACTTGTTTGAAAAGATGAAAATAAAGTTCTAAAGGGCTTTGAAATGCATTATCTTGATAGTTATCTTTTACTCTATAAGTAACTTAGCTATTAATAAAACTTGCTCAATGAGTTGAAAATTTTCAAAAATCTACACAAGCAAAAAGCAACAGTGAGAAGGCATAAGAAATCTTAAATTTTAAAATGTCTAATTAATAAAAAAATAATTGAAACACCTCACATTCTGCACGTATTCATTCCCTCTACATATTGTGTGTGTTAGTATGTATGCGTGTCTATAAATAAGGCAAAATAAACTACCATGTTTAAAACTGACACAAAGGTATGCCTCTCAGCCTGTAATTTTGATTTGATAGTCAGCCAAGCTTACTCCTCCTCTCAGACATGAACAAAATATAGAAAGCAAAGTATGCCTACTTTATTTTGATTTTATGAAATGCCTTGAGCCGTGTGGCTGGGAGTTGTAACATCATGATTTTGGTGCTGCTCCACGAAGGCTAGCACTGAAACAATGTGTAATGCTACCATTCATATGACAAATTCACAGGTCCCTGGGACTTACAGAATGATAGATTGTACTCCTTCCTCTTTTAAGATAGCCCATCAGCATCACAGAGGTAAAAAGGCAGGGAGACACATTACAGTGATTCTGAAATCTGTTTCTTGTTCCTATGCTCATTTCTTGTATTTAATAATCAGGATAACTATTTTCATCATCCATTTATCACTACAACAAAGTAACAGTCTAGTGACAGTAACCTACTACCTCAACATTTCATTACAAAATTTAGCAGTTGTCAAAGGAGAATATTTGCAGAGTATCTGTCATGAGTATGTTTTCCATTCAGTATCTTGAACAATTTATGACTGATACCTGGAGATAAGAGCTATCTGCAGAGAAGTCCATCTGGATCACAAAACTTGGGATATCTTTGCAATAGCTGACTCGATTTAGTGTGGGACCCAAAGTCAGATCATAAAAATCCACTGCATTCTCACTGGAACCGACGGCTAAGTAACGAGAATCTGGGCTAAACCTGAACAGATAAAAGGGCTTTATGAACACAGGTTGGTACTCACGACAGATTGCAATATTTGAGAAACATGAGTAAATTTGCATTTCAAGTATCTGCTATTCAGAACTAAAGAGGGAGGCAGAGTATTTTGTCTGCTAACCTTTGAAACAAAATTTTCAGGGAACATATATGCAGTAGGTGGTAGCAATAATTTTGGTACAGCTGTCACATGTGAGTGAACTGGGAACATCTCTGGACTAACTCTGATCATTAATCTGATCTCATTACCATCTCAATGGTCTAACAACTTTGTGACATGCCCCTGACGACTTTGACTCTCTAGTGCTATACTTACAAGGCTACAAGTTAGAAACATGAAATGCTGTAAATGAAGAAAAGCCAGACCTTCTAGATGAAATGTACTGAATAAAAAGACATGAAATCAAACCTTTCATCTGCCTAATGTATCTCTGCACAGTCCTTTCTCTCCTCCAGTTTTCCCTTTTAGTCTTGAAAGTCAGTAGCTTCTCGAGCTGAACAAATTCCTCACAGCCCCTTTTGTGTTACTAGGGAAGTTTCTTTATTTCTGTCATCTCTGAGACATACCCTGGGACAGCTTTCTGATTCCAGCAACCCCCTAACTCCTAGCAGGGCTCTCCCGCCTTCCTGCAGCAAGGTCCCTGTTTGCTCATATTTCTCCCACTCATCCCACTTCATTCTCCAGAAGCTTCCCTTAGCTGATCACAATGAATTTGTCTATCTCATAGAAGCAAAAGTCTGGTCCTCCACTCAGGAAACAGAAGCAAAATTTCACTTCTGCTAACTACTTTCTAACAAAATACAACAAAAAGCAAACTGACAGACAGGCATTTCCATTGTCTCTCACAATCCAGTCTTCATCTGTAAACTTCTGATCTCATTTTACCTCCTACACATCATCTCACTCTGCTCCTTTTCACACCTTCTCATCTGCCCCCTGACTGCGATGGTCTCTTCCTATTGTCCATTGACTTCCCCCATTCACCCTCCATTTTAACTAATCCTTCGCAATATTATCTGACACCCCCTCTATGGTACTGCTGTTTTTTGACTGATTGATATATTTTATCTTCATGTACGTCCTCCTTTTTTACTCCTGGGATCAGAGTAATCACACAAACTCCACAATTCACTCATTAATTCCAGCTCTCTTTCATTGTAATGCTCCTCAGAACATAAAACCGTATTTTTAAAAATCAAAATAATACAGATTTCTAGAATACTACAACAGATAAAGGCATTATATTTTCTGACCTGATATCTTGAATTGCTGATCTTCTGTCCCTTTTTTTCCCCCAAATTTTTAGAGAGTTCACAAGCAAGATAATAAATTCTCCATTTTTCATGCCAATAGCTACCATATCACCTTCTGGGCTGTAACAAACAGTACGAGCTGCATGTCCTAAGCTGACTTTGTTCAGCATCTTCTGTGAAGAAATAAAAACCCAGAAGAGTAAATGTTTCTGTTTGCTCATATTTCAAAAATACTTATTCTAACAGTTTGCCACTATCAGATGGATTATTCTCAGAATACATTGAAAAACAAGTTTCAAGTCCTCAACACCACCACAAGTCTAGGATTTTTTTAAAAATTTTTTTCTAATCAACAACTATTCTCCAACACCTACCTTTTCAGCAATATCCCAGAGTCTTACTGTGCCATCTTCTGCAGCAGAAAGGAAAAAGTCTCTCGAAGGATGCGTTGCTAGGCCCCAGATTGGTCCATCCATATGACCATTAATTAGAATGTTACATGCAGCATTTTTCTCTCCAACTTCGATTATTTCAGCATTTCTTGTCCCAACAAGAATTTTACCCTTGAACAACAGTGAAAGAATTATCTCTGATATAATACATTAACTACTTGTGATGAACAGTAATAAAGATAATCCAAAGCTATAGTTCTGTCAAGGTTTGCTGAAATCAAGCAAACATAATTTATTTTTTAAACTCCTCAATGATTTATTACAGTACAAAGCTCATGATGCTACTTGAGTTACTGCGTGTAAGTCAGATATTTGAAGTGTGAAAAGAAAATAGAAAAGAAACTCTTAGTTATTCTTTAATAAAAATATATACAGACTATTATCTTAGGTAAGGCTACGATCTCCCAAAGCAGATTTTCTTCTGCTGTAAAATCAGTTGTAGACACCTTCTAGCTCAATCTTTAATTTCAAAAACTAATTATAAGAGAAAGAGGAAGCAACTTATCATATATTTAATGCTACAGATCAATCCACAAATTATAAGACATAAGTCTTTCTTTACCTTGCCTCTGCAAACAGAGCGAACACAGTCTGTCATTTGCCCTGTCTCTAGTCTGAAGGCACGACATCGTTTCAGCTCTTGATCCCATAGCTTAACTGCTCCTCCTTCCTTTGAACTATGAAGAAATCAAGAACAACCATCAGTATAATGACTGGCACAAAAAAGACAATTGATGTATGAAAGAACTATATTATTTAATGTAACGTATTGGAAACAAGGCATTTTAGTAAGTTTAGTATGTTTTAAATCATTAAAGAATCCATTTGTTTTTACTGAACAGGTGATGTTAACAGGCTAAGCCTCCTAGCTAAGCAAGGAATACTGATTCAAAGTCATACTACCTTACAGAACAAACTGAAAGATCATTGCTGCTAAGCTTAGTCCGAATCAGTAGCTCTCAGGGAATTTGTTTAGTCAAAGGAATAGTTAACTATGTGAATGAACTGCCATCTTATTATTAAGACAGGCAGAGATTATCAAAATATAGCTGAGGGAAACTGGAAAGATATGTATTTTACTACTGTGAAACAAATGACAAAAGATTTTTGCTATTTTCACTGCTGTGAAATAAATGACAAAGATACAGGAGAAAAATCACACAATGTTAATTGCACAAGATACCCAACTAATAAGTAGTAATCATAAAAGCACTAAGTATTTCCGCCCCACTTTCAAGTGAACTGGTATTTCAGTAAAGACGACATTAAAATAAAAGAAGTTTCTAAAAAGGAGATAATACTTAATGAAGGTTATAAGTCTGGCATCTCCAGTTGAGCTAGGACACATTTTATCTGTCTTCAAAGAGAAAAGAATCTCCTCCAACAGAAAAGAAAATATAATGTTCCACAATATTGAGCTGCCAGCATTAAAACTTTGATTACTGAACAAACCCTGACAAAGAACTCCTGAAAGTTTAAGCACAATTACTGCTTTTGTACTATTATTACTAAAAGAATTATAATGAATTATAAATCGCTAGTCCTTGCAATGCAATATTCTTTGCTTCCCAATAGCACTGTTTTGATATATGATTGGTCATCACACTCAGCAAAAAGATTTTATCAAAAGAGGCTGGTGAACTGCAATTAAGAATGCCAAGGCAGAAGCAAACATGCAATTTTCCTAAATGTAGAATTTGTTTTGTATACTTTCAATACTCCATTTTCCCACAGAAGATGAATTATTGTTTCTTACTGTTATTCATTACTGTTTCTTTCAGGTCAAATATTAAGAGCTTCTGTAGCTAAGTGGTAGAGAGAACATTCTCCAAATAAAATCATGGTGATGTTTTACAAATACTGGGAGAAAATATGTCAAGCACAGCAATAAGTAAGTTTTCAGCTGGGTTTGAATATCAACCAGGATCTTTAAGGACTATTTATGGAAAAGGTAGTAAGTGGCTTGTGCCCTGCAAAATGGGGCACTATCATGCCATCAGATATACCATATTACAGCTGAAGCATTTTCTTTTTATCTTTGGCAAGGTGCTAAGAAAAAATTAAAATGCTTGAAGAGATACTTTGTTTACAACCCCAGAAACAAAGGATGTTGCTGAATCTTAGATTTAAGAGAAGAGAGTTTGCCTCTGTCATCATAACCAAACAGATCCTTCCTTTAAAAGAAGCTGTGTATTATGCTGTTATAATATTTATCACTCATTTATTTAATCACAATTATGGAAATCACTTGGATTAACAACCTCAGTTCAACTTCAGAAAAAGAAGTAACCCATAAAGGACTAGGTAACTTTTTAAAGCTGTATTTCAAACTAAATGCTTTTGCCTTCTCACAAAAGTAATACTGTTGTGATAAACAGCATCAAACTATTTAGTAACACAGTAAGGTGATTTCAAAGCTACTTTTGATTATAACAGTTTAGCCCTTTTCAGCTTAAGGAGGGAGGACCATATCATCTCTCTGATAACTGTGTATTCGTGCTTGGAGAAACATTACCTGACTGACATAATGCACTATAATTGATAATGCAATATAATTAACAATCCATTCACGTAACTTATTTTACACTTGCCTATTATTTTTAACCAAAATAATGTAAAGTCATCATAAAATGCCTGAAGAAGCTTGCACATGTGCTTTAGAAAGATGATTGTTACCTAGAAGCTAAAATCATGAAGAACTACTTGTACAGCATTTAGACTCTGATTCATCCCCCTTGACTTTAGGTACATAAGCAAGGCATCCAGGTCAGGATCCTAGCAACTATAGGCTTCCTCTTACAATGAATGGAAAAAAATAGGTACTTGAAGCTCATGTGGGCTTACCTGCACTTTAGAGGTGGTGGCTACTTTTTTTCCTACCACTTATTCAGGGATCTTAAAGTGACTACTCTTCTAGCTTTGATGTCTCAACTGCCTAGTGTTAGATGGGATGAATCCAAACCATTTTTAAAGAATACATGGGCATGCAGAAAAAAAAGAAAAAAGAAGACTCACGGCCTTTCTTTGCCTCCCGTAACGATCAAACCATCTCTTAGTGTGGTATACATTGTGAAAACAGGTCCATTGTGAGCTTTGGCCACAATTCGTATCAACACGTGATCTTTCCAAACACACACATCTCCACTGATAGTACCTGTAAATGTCAAGTTATTCTGAAAAGGGGAAAAATATACTCATAATCTGATTCTGAGCAAGGAAGGAAGAAAAATATTCAGAAATAAAGAACATCACCATTTGCATTTAGGCTCGGTTGCTTTTATTTGCTGCTGTAGAAGTGCAAATTGTGGAAGGGGTAACAAGAACCTGTAGGGACAGAACTATGAGCTACTATATTCTTCCTTGAAGTCTGAAACATGTTTTCTTGTAGCTAATAGGCTCTGCACTGCAAGAAGAAATTCAATGACTTAAGCTTCAGCCATAGGGTTATCTATGTTTTCAGCCTATCAGGTGTGCAAACTGTGGTAAAAAAGCAGAAAACCAAGAACAGTTTTGACATTTCACATAAACAGGCAACTTGCACCCCTTGCTATGTACATAATGCTTGCAGTCCTTTTTGTTGTTAGGGGAAGGTACTCACTGGATGACCGTAACCATTAGTTTATCAAGAAAACAGTTTGACTTAACTCAGAACTAAAAGCTGCCTATTCTTTTCTTCTGCTTCCTGTTTTTTTAAAGGTAGTAAAAATAAATTTAATGACCTCTGAAATTTAAGGGCAATTTATTAGGATACACTTCAAACCAACAGGAACTGGTTATATTGCAAAAACTGTTCTAGTAACTTATGTGAACAATCCTCAAATTCAGCATCATGTGTAGTATTTTAGAGTACTAGTATGCATGTATAGATTTGGCAAGAACACTTTCCTTGACTGAGGTGGGTTGATGTTCTACATCCTTTTTTTAAGGGGCGGGTGTGTGGGTGCCCTAATAAATGAGTAAATAAGAGAGCACTGGAAATGAACTTGGGAGCAGATCCTCTGGTCATCCTCACAGCATTAGTGTTGGGCTGTTTCCAACTCCTGTTTAGGAGCACTTGAACTAGCTCCTTCTGAGACAAAATCTAGGAAGAAAAGCACTCCCAGAACTGCTCTCTACAGGAAGTATGGAGAACACACCAGGTTTGGCTTTATTCAGTTTGTACAGCTTTTTACAAAACCCCCACAAGCTTTGCATCCTCAAACAACCTCACACCATACTCCAGGACATGCAGCATACAGCCTGATGTTCATGCTAAGAATCTGTCCCTCCATAAGACATTTCACAGAAGTTTCCCAAACCCCAGACTAATGCCTGGGCTCTGCATCCAGTTATCACTTGGAAGGTATCTTATTGCTTTGTAGGACTCTCTCTTAAATCAGAGGTACCTGAGAGAGACACCACTCTGGAAAAGAGCTGGTCTCCTGAAAAATGAAACCGCAAGCCAGTTACAGTTTCAAAAATCCAAATCTACAATATAAATTCAGTCTGGGCCCAACAGGCAGATCAGTAAGCAGACAGTAACGCACACAATAACAGAGAAGTACCACTTCACAAAAGAAATCTATGGCTATCTGCCCAGCTGGATGGAACTTAGCAACAACGCCTGCATCTGTCCGAAAAACCCAAAGCAAAACAAAACCCTACTGCAGTCATCTCACAGTCGCAGATGTTAACAAATGCCCCAGGACAATGCTGTTCTCAGATCACCCATGAGTAGTAGTGCACACAGATTGTAATACAATCATCCCCAGGTGGGCATAAAATTAGCCTAATTTCTATTGTTTGGTTCCTGCAGTCTAGGCTCATCTTTGTTTTACCTGGATTAAATACTAAGCAGCAAATTATCAGTCCAAAGCACCTATGTTTGTTTCTCTTGAAAACACACAAATCCATAATCTTTTTTCTTTCCTGTTCTAAAGAAAACTGGTATTAGTTCTAACTAGCAAGCAAGAATTGGAAATGCTAAACTGAGTTTAATAAAACAACTGACATACTAGCAGATTACAAGTCTCATTGAACTGAATAAAGGCAGAAGTGTCAAAAAATTTTTGTTTGTATGCATTTTAAAATAGTTTGTTCAGGTACGTACCGCTCCAAAAGCTACAGATAGCATTGTCTGCATTCGGGCATCTTCTATGGAGCTCAGCAGCCCTTTTTTACTAAGAAGAGCTCTTCCAGCCAGTGTCCAGAACCTCACATGTTTTACTCCCACAGAAACAAACTGGGTGTCTGAATCTGGCCTGAATTCTGCTACAAATATACGTTGATTATGACCAGCTCGGCTGGCAATTTTGGCACCTGCCAGAAAGAAAATGGACGTTTTGAATCCGCTGAGAAAGATATACATTTATGGTTTAAAAAAAAGTAAAAATTATGGAGAATGATGAGTCATCTAAGACCACACAGGTTGGGAAGAAAAGCACAAAGTGCTCCTAAATTAAAATTAAATTAAGATGTAAACAACAAAAACCCCCACATTTAGTAAGACCTAGTAGCATAGTGTAGTTAAGACAACTAATGAAGGTGCCACCTACTTATAATTTTCCATTTTTCAAATTTTTCAATTTTTTAATTTCCTCAGGAATATAAAAGAATTAGGAGCTCAGATCCAAGTAAGTTTCCATCTCCTCTTAAATTTCTACAACTCCTCTGAAAATCTCTAACTCTGGACAAATTACAAGAGACTAACGAATGACTTCCTGTAGATTTTGTCCAAAGTTAGAAAACTTTCTTCTTTCTGCAGAAAATGCAGAAATTGACTTCATTACATATGGTCTTAGATTCAAAGGTAATGCTTTTCCAGTCTCTTCAGAGGTGTTAACATCAGACGTTTTCACCCATATGAAGATTCTTTGATCTGGATCCTTAGTTGCCATGCTGAATCTGTATCTACTCTTTAAGAATGAGCACAGGCACGCTACCACACATCCTCCATAATACCTAAGATTGTATAAATACACATTTGACATTGCGTCCAGCTCCACAGCACCTAGGAGACAAGCTGTGAAGGATCACTTTTTATTAACTTCATAGCTGATCTTTAAACTCTGAGTGGTACTAGTTGACCAATGGAAATCTCCAAAGAGAGAAGAAATAAACCCCTAAGCATAGAGAATCAGTTTCATAATCTGGGCATGGCTTTGCCAGACAGAAAGGAGCTGACCAAATCACTTTAACCTAAATCCTGAACTCAGATCATTGCCAAACTGAAAACATGTAGTATAGCTTAAGACACTAATTACATAGCTGCATAGAGGAGCTGTACATCACATTTCTGCAATTTGCAGTTTGGGGGGATAATTTCAGGACAAGGAACCTAGTCAGTAATCAGACTTCAGAGAAGAATAAGAACAGAGAAGAACAGAAAATTTCTTCTAGGAGCAAAAAAGAATTTTATCAAGCAGCAAAGAAATGACTGGGAAAAAAAAAAAAAGGCAGAATTTAAACTACAATTTTCTTTAATTATTCTAACTGGAAATCAGTGAACTATCTTGATCTTTACACAACAGTTCCAAAGGAGATATATTTAGCAGTTACTAGAATGGGTAAGTACATTTATTTTACCTCTTCTTGTACAGTGCATAGTGCACAGCATTTATTGTCATAATTTTCAATCTACTATTTTTAGGTTACAATTGCTGTCTCAAGCCAACATACCTCTAACAATATAAACATATTCTACAAGAACAATCACTTTCCTACCTTCCTGCCACTTCCAAATGGTAATGGTATGTTCGGGATCCAGCCCTACAGAGAGCAGCAGTTTGCCAGTGGCACTGAAACTGACTGAGCAAACGCCTTTTGAATGGTAGCACCGCAGTACCGACAACGTCTGTTTGTTCATTGCATCCCACACATGAATAGAAGGAGCTGTAGCTACACAAATATAAAAACATGTAATGAGTATACATTTTGAAAATGTCTAATGATTTGCTTACTGAAGTTAATATTTTTTAATAACACAAATAAAATTGTTCTGGTCAGACAGAAAAAAAAGGAGATTTTGGCCTCCCTTTGGAAATCAATTTATGGCATTAAGTAGGACTAAGAAGTTGGCCTCATTACACTACTGGAGATGAAAACTTTGCTTAACTTGTTACCGGACTTGAAGTCCAGTGAAGCTCCTGCTTGAAAAAGGAGAAACACAGCCCTCATTTTTAAAAAGGGAAAAAAGGAAGACCCAGGGAACTACAGGCCAGTCAGTCTCCCCTCTGTGCCTGCCAAGATCATGGAGCAGATCCTCCTGGGATCTATGCGAAGGCACATGGAAACTAAGGAGGTGACTGGTGACAGCCAACGTGGCTTCACTAAGGCCAAATCCTGCCTGACAAATTTGGTGGCCTTCTATGACAGGGTTACAGCGTTGGTGGTTCTCTTTCATATCGAAATTTCCTCTCATGACACCAACACGCTGTTATCATCACCTTTTGAGAGGTACTATAGCATAGTATAGATATGCCATTAAAACAGAAAGGGCAGATGTTGGCAACAACTGACAGGTTTCAAAATTTTCAGCAACTCCCTGTTGGCCTTATGGAAAGTTGCAGGAAGGGAAAGCTTTATTATGGCTGTGAACTTGTTTTCCTCTTCAGCACTCCCCTTGGTGAAACTCTGTATTGCCCTTGACTTGTGCACCTCCCCTATAACCTTGGCCAAAATTTTTGTTTTGAATGGCAGACAGAAACATTCACCTAGATTTATGAATATAACTGACAAAATCTTTCAGAGCAAGATTTGCAGGACAGAGGACACAGACTCTTCAGTCCTCCTACTTGACAGTGCTGCTCTGAAAGTCTCTGCCTCAACATTGTGGCCTGCTTGTGGAGTACTCCAGCTACTCAACGTCTGCTGTCACAAGAGAGATTTTCTAAGGTGTCATCTCCTCCTGGGAGAAGTTAGATAAAGCTACCATGGGCTGGCAGGATGAAAAATATCTTCAGTAGATGAAGCAAATCCATACCAAGTCATTATGAAACTTAATTTGCCAATCCAGCCTATTACAAATGTTACTGCTTCAAGAACCCCTGCATCACTGTAGACCTCAGAAAACTGGAACTGGAAAAGTGGAAGTTGTCAATAAGAAAGGTGCCAAACAGCCATCAACAAATTTTAAGTGAAACTATGCAACTTTCTAATGAAGGCAGGCAGCAGCCTGGATTCCAGACCAATGGTTCCATAAAGAAGAAAAAAGTAAGTGGGCTGGCTTCAGGCAGTGACAACAGAATTTAGTAATATACAGCTCAAACTAAAGTTGCAGTAGGGAGAAGGCAAGTGAGAGAGGGAAAGTCTCCAGGCATTATATGCAGGACTAGAGATGTTCTTTCATATAAACAATCACATCATCACTGCTTCTTTTATACAGTTTAAAAGTGTGGGAAAAGGTACCTATATTCTACCTCCCATCCTTAGACCAAGCACAATTTGGCATATTTAAAAGAAGTCAACACACATTAAAAATGCCATTGTACATTTATTCTTCACAGAACAAGCTTTAGATCCACATGAAGATTATTATACTTTCTATGAACACACATTTATGCATCTCTGAAGATGTGTCACAAGACAATTATGGCTGCTCGACAGTGAACTCACTCACACATGATTGTAATGAATTTTTAAGATTACAGTTGAAAAAACAACATATTAATAAAAAATAGCTCAGTCAAGACTGTCAAAGACCCAAAACGATACAGAAAAAATTAAACTGATGCCATAACAAGCATTTTGGATCAGTGGGAATAACTGCATGACAACCATACATAAACGTGAAAGGTGATTGTTTTTTTCACTCAGTCACCTAGGCCTCCTCAATGGAATTTACTTTAGAAATGCATATTTAAAATTATAATCAATTGAGTATCTAAAACATATGTTAATTGTCAGCCCCAACATGTCTGTAAAACCTGCAAGCATACATAGGAATGCTACAGTAGCAGCATGTATTGGAATTCACTAATCACTAGGCAGCAAGAAGGGAATATGTTACAACAAAAATAGTTTTTAAGTGTGTTCTAACATTTTAATTGTTTCTATATTTACAATTTGCTGAATTGTTGTGGTTTATATTCAGTGCTGACAGTAATATGACTGATACAGGGTTTTAATAAACTAAAAATGAATTCACATCACTTACTGCTCCATAAAGCTCTAGATGGCTACTAAATAGGCTAACTACACCTGAAGATGTTAGAATTTTATTTCCCTTACCTGACATATCTGCTGAGTCTCCTGTAATGGAAAAGCAGCAGAAAAATAATTAGACCAGAAATAAGATAAGAGCTAAAGAAAATATATGCCACATTTAGTGTAATTTCTTAACACACATCTTGATGTCATCTCTTTGCATTGTGGCAGCACCAATACTGCTTTTAGTGTTAAAGATGAACAGTTACTGATAAAAGGCGGTCACATCAGAAATAAAAATTCGTAGAATTAATATATTTTGATTTCCATTTTGAGTTACAACACAAAAATCTAGTTTTGGTGTATGTTAGGTCTCTCTCTGTCAAACTAAACAAAAACCATATTTTACATGTTACTGGTATTTTAACAAATTAAGTGGAAAAAAAATGCTGATTGCTATTCTGTGAAGAAGTAATGTTTGAGTCTGATCTTGACAAGTGGCAAATGCACCCAATGTTCTTCTATAGGAGCATTAAGAAATCAGGATAATAAAGGTTCAGGTACTGGGAAGTATTACTGAGACTACATAACAGCATTCCAGTTTAAAAAGGCTTGAAATAACGTTTCTGTAAATCTTTTGAAGATTTAAATCACGATGGTGAAGCTATGTTTCTGCCAGGCATATCAGTATGAAAAGCAGCAGCAGATAAGTATGTTCTTTATGGGGTATATACTCCTTAACATCTGTTCAGAATCTAAAAATAAGTGTTGTTTGAAGATATTTTGCTTCCAGCTCATTTTTCAGATTCAATTCTTTGCTTAAAAATATGTTTTGTAGTCTAATTTTTAAGCATCATCTGCTCCTGATTTGTATGCCTTAACCCACATTACAAAACAGTTAAAATTGTTCTACTGCTAGTTGACGTAGAAATGATTATGAAATAAAAAAGCATGAAGGGTCCTGTGTTTCTTCTTGGCTATGATGAACACTGAAGAAAATCCTTGCAAAGAACAAATTTTCGCATTATGCCTCCATTCTTCTTGTATAATCTATCATATGGAAAGGCAAACAGGGCCAGATTAAGAAATATGCCGAAAAAGTAAATTCCTAGACAATAAAAGGTCTGTAATTCCTGTAAATGTTCTTTGCAATCAAACCATAGGCAAAAATCTGCTGATAATTTTTTCCATTTATATAATTTCCAATAATAATTTCCTTAAATTGATGTGAGGCAAGAAACTCAAGAAATGAAGCTATTTTAGCTAAGCAGTTACTACTATCAATGAATCAATTTTAATGACGCATGCACCTAAAAAAACAAAAGACAGAGGGAAGCAGGTAACAAAACTCTGATAAACTGACCATATTTAGATGAAACATCTAAAACAAACCTACAGGGAAAATAAAAAAAAGCTATTCTGGCTAAAACTAAGGGGTTTTTTTGTATTCTGTGCACTAAGGAAAACAATGAGGTTTTGAATCTGCTGAGAAACAACTGAAGGTATGAAAACTGCAACTGCATTGTAGGACTACAAAAAATACACTATTCTGCACAATTTAGAAACAGCAATATTAGTTCAGCTATGCAGATGCACAGTGGGTTTTTTTATTTTATTTTTTAAAAAACCCTGGTTAGTTCAGCAATCATTGATCAATTTTAATGTTACTATGAAACATACATATTTTCACTCTAAATCTAAATTTAAACATTATTAGAGTTTTGGTTCTGCCTAGAATATTACAACTATGTATTATCAAAATACCAAGTAGGTATTATAAACCTGCCTGATGAGATAAAACCAACATAAAGTGATATCTATTTCAAGAATTCTGGGTTTAGTCCATATAGAAAGGAAGGATACCTCAATTAAGCTTCTTAGGAAGGGCTATGACTCTTCAGAAGGCCTAACATAAGCTGATAGTTAAATGAAACCAGACTAATTTCATGGGGCTTAAGATTTCTAAAAAAAATATTTTTGATAACACTCCAAACAAAAGGTAAGCTTAATGTTCTTTCATGCCTCAAATGCTTTTTGTTCAACTTTATTAAATTATACTCAAAGAAACATATAAAGAGGACAGGTAACTGAGTAACACTCATACAAACGGAGATAGCATAATCAAATATTTTTGTGATTTATCATGAACTTACAAGACCCTAATTGCATGCTCTTATGTTAATTTCTTTTTACAAAAATACAAACATACCTACTTGGCCAGTTGCCACTATGTTGGTAAACTTGGGGTGCTGATTTACAGTGAGGCATAAAATATCATCATTGTGCTCCTGGTAAAAAGACTGAGCGCCTAAAAAAAAACCAAACCACCCAACTTTAATTAAAACATTTACACACACATAGACATGGTTAATGTTTGAAAACTTTATAATATCTGTTGGAAAACAGCATTATGCAGTTTGGAGCTTAAAACCAGGAAACAGAAACTCCTAATTTTTTAGCTCCATTTTAACACATAGCTCCATTTAACACATAACACATTTAACTCAATAACTCCAAACTATTCCCTCAAGTTTTCTACATCAAATTTCTTAAATATCAAGGAAACCAAATGGCATCGTGTTACTCTTTAAAAGGTCTAAGTTATCTAAACTAAATTGTTTACTGGGAAGGAATGTATGTGATACAGAGGACTGAAATGTAAACCAAATAAAAAATTATTAACTTAGAAAACCCATTAGAAAAACCATTAAACAACTATAACGACCCCATTGTTCAGCTGTTTTAGTTTCTGTGACCATTTTAAAAAGCAAATTTTAGAAAGCTAATACCAAAATAATCAAATCTTTACTTTCTTCAAAATTCAGTCATCAGAAACATTTCACAATATTTAGTTTGCTTATGCAGTTATTATGAATCACCTCCACAGACTGAATTTTCAGCAATAAATAATAATAATTTTTTCACGTACTTTTTTAAGATTTAAAGCATACCAGTGACTTCATAAACTATGACTGTATGTGTGTGAAGAAGTGTTTTCCCTCAAGTGGGTTTTCTCCTACCTGTTGCCACATTATACAAGATCCCAACAGATGCAGTATGATATATTACATCAGCACCATCATTCAAATAGTGCACATTGTTTCTGCAGTCCTTGCCTCGGTACCCAAATACCAGCTCCAAAATTAGGTCCTAAAAAAGATATTTACATCTATTAGTAATTGTGAACTTTACGATCTTTGCCAGGATTTTATTTTTCAAATTTGTCCTTAAGCAGTAAAGGAAAAGGAGTTCAATGATGTCTCAAACCAACAGAAACTGAGATCCTGCCTTCCCTGTCAGCTTACATTGCTGCTCATTCTTGTCGTACACAGTCATGTCATCCTATCATCTCTGTTTCGTGGATGCTGCAGAATATTTATATATGTATACATACACACACATATATATACACAGAAAGAGACACTCATACATATGCACATAAATAAATAAATTACAATGAGCCAAGAAGAATACAGTTCTTTCGATGCAGAAAATACTAAGAAACAAAGAATGATAAACATTGGTCCACAACTTAATTCCAGCTGCAATTAAGAAAGCTGAATTACAGCCTAAAACTTCTAGAACATTGATGGCAAAAGGTCGTTTATTTATTTATTATGCTACAGCAAACATTTTGTTTCATATCATAGAAAACATTTCAGTTGATATGAAGAACTGCATTTTTCAAGGTTAGATGAAATCTCCACTTCAGATTAGTTAAAAGTGAGTACATTTATTTGCATTGGCCATTTAATGAAAAAAAACCCTCACTATTCAATATTTCCATCTTTGATACATTTAAAATGATACAATCATTAAGTGTGTCCACAAATGTGTCAATTTCTGGAAAAAAAAAATCCTAAAAGGAGAAGAAGAGATCAATGGTTTTCTTACCTCTATAGGTCTCTTTTTTTTCCCAACATTATTTGTCTGAAGTTTCTCTGGCTGTGGCAATGCCCTACTAACTGGTGGTCTGAAATAAAGAACTGTGAATAAGAGAAGGCTGTCCGTCACCCGTTCCATACTAACACAGTACCTTCCAACCTGCTACTGCACATGGAAAACTCAAGAGTCCTATCCTGCTTAACTGATATTTGTATTAATCTTTAAAAGAAATATACCTCTGTCAAAGCAAAAAACCGCCAAACACCTTTGTTTAACATGCTAGGTTTTCTGACAATTCTTCCAAACAATCCATGAGGTTAATGCAAAAGCTTGTTTTACAATGACTGATGACCAATACAATATTCTTAGCTTTTTCATGCTATATTCTTAAGGTACTTCCATCTTCTCTGTAGCAATTTTTATTGGATAAACTTTAAAGGCCTACCTGATTAATCTAAATACTTGAGATAATCATTCCTGTTCCCACATGCCTTCAACAGGCCCTAAATTTTCCTGGTTTTGTAACAGTTTGTAAAGAACTCCAGGTACACCTGCCCGCTCACTCTTACATCAACAGAAACAAGTTATTGATCAATGCTTAGTTGGAAGTAAACTATCACCATGCAAATGCATGAATATCAGCCATAACTTATGTACCATTGTTCTGAATAACTCAGATTCTATTAAGAAATCTCAACTAGATATGTTTGATAAATACCTTTCAGATTATGTTCAATTGTTCATATACAAAGAAATATACAAACAAATAAGTTTTGTTTATGAAAATTATGCAATTATTTCTAGTAATTTCCAGGAGGATTAGTTATTGATTCTATGTATACAGCATATACAGCCATGAAAAGAAACCTGGAAGTTTGACCCTTAAAGAGGAACAATTCATTTAAAAATAAATTCCACACATATTCAATGACATCCAGATTATTTAATCCAGTAGGCAGTGTGACAAACTAGTATCACACATAAAGCAACAGGTCAGCTCTCTTTGATATTCCTTTTGTAGTATGAAGTACTTTTAATTCCATCTCTGCTCTTGAATTATGACTTTGATGCAAAATAATCACTGTGTCTCTTCTAAGAACAATAGACTATGACTTGTTTGTATACTGTTTATTTTGAACTACATTTGAAAAATGTTTTTTCAGTTATTCAAATAAAATACCATTTTCTGAGCTTTAGTCCTCCATTCTCCCTGCCTAATTTAGTACAATTTATAGACTGATGTCCTATCACCAATTAAAAGATTTGTACATATTATAATGCAAATTATACTGCAACTATAAACTGTGTTCTGAGATACTTCAGTTACTTCCTCTACACTTAGAAGCCTGTAAAGTACCTATGGAAAAAAAAATTTACAAAACAAAAACAGATGATGAAAAATTTCAGTCTGGTAAAGAAGTCTGTCAGATGCCTGCATCACCCAAACATGATCAAGTTTATTAAAACTTGCTATTGTGTGAGATAGGGCCAGAGGGAGGTACTTGAAATATTTAATTCAGTATCATAAATCTAGATTTTAGGAAATGTAAAATCTTTATAATAGAAAATCCAAATCCACATCTAAAAATAAATATTGCTACTTTACACTGGATAGTCTTTTCACAGAGAGAGAATATGGGCTGTATTAAACAAATTCTTATGAGAGCAAAGTATGAAAGAATAATTTAAAGTTAAAAAGAAAATTCAAGACATAAAGGAAAATAAATAAGGCTTATATTTCATATTCATTCATAAATAAGTTATAGCCTGGACCTAGCTCAGACCATACCATCCTGTGCCATAGTCTGTGAAGGTAAAAAAGTATTCTCCTAACTTTTGGAAAAGAGAAGGAAAAACAAACCAAGCACAGTCTGGGCTGCCCTCATCATCTGTATAAGCATGTTGGCCAGTATAGGAAGCAAGGAATATGTCTGATTTCTGTCAGCAATCCCAAAATCCAATTTCATGACAACTCTTGAATCGCCACTGTCTTTCAACCGGTTCTTTCCAGGCCTTATACTTGATGCAAAATTCCTAGCTTTCCCAGCTATTTTCCAGGTCCTTTCTTCTCTTCTGTCCTATCACCACTGACTCCTAGCATCTTCTCATTTAGCATGTCATATTACAACAGTATTGCTAAGTATGATTAAAATTCTCACTTCTAATTTTAAAAAATAAACTACACTTTTATTTAGAAGTTTCTAAATTATCCACAGAAAACACTCTCAAGAGGTCACAATGTTTATCATATTAAATATATATGGAGAGAAGTCATCTAAAATTTTGCAGAGGAAAAAATCTTTGACCGTATTTGTTCCCCAACTTCACAGTAGGTCAGCAATTTCAGTTACAAATACACTGATCAAGAGGTAACAAGTATCTCCTAGTGCCATAGAAGCCTTCTTATCACTGCATGCTACTCAAATTGAATCAAATCCAACCAACTAAAACTACCGAAATGCATGAACAAAAATTGAAAGGCACAGATACTGTATGGGGCATGGGTTTTCCGAAAGCACTTCAGTGATACAGAGAATAAAAACCGGCCCTTATTCTTTCAAGTAAACGAAGAGACAGAGAAAGAGAGAACCTAATACAGCCTGGATCCAATTAAAATTTGCTGGGCGGGTGGAGTGGGGAATCAAACAGCTTCATCAAACATCTGAGGTAAATTTACATTAAGATTCCCTCTTCTCTCATAAAGAACAACTTTTTTTTTCCAATATATTTTTTGAAATGGTCATACTGATCTCCCAAAATAATAATAGATAAAGCTTTGTTTAGGTTTTGGAGTGGTGTTTTGTTTTGTTCTGAATGAATTCTAGTGCTTAAAATCTCTAAAGTTAAATGGCAAACCAATAATGAGTTCTCTGCCTGTGCAATCAAAAGCCTTTGATGAACAGGGTTAACAAGGTAAATGAATTGCACATAGCCATAATTATACATACCCTGTTATTTTACAGCTAAGAATTACAGTTATTGAAATATATCTAATACCCAATTTGTGTAACAGGTTAATGATATTAAGAGCTGCTAACCAATTTTTTTCCTACCTACAGTTTATTACTTTGAAATATAATTAAAATTCCTTAATTCCTTTGATACCTCCTAATTGCTGCTCATTTATTAGGTAACTAGGAGCACACTTATAAATGCAAGAAGTTCCTTAAAAAACACTTACACAAAACTGGCTCCTTAAAAACCACTTACATAACATTGACTTTGAATCCTTTTTTAAATTAAGCAAACACAACATACCTTTCTCTTTTTAAACATGGAAATCAGGAACAACACTGAAGTGCTGAAAACTGGGAGACTGTATGCCAGTGATTCTGTTGGTCCTAACCATTATTTTTCCAAAGAAGGGAGGGGAAGAGGAACCTATAATGAATAGTATCAATGTTCACTCGTTTTCCACTGTGATGTTACCTCTTCTCTCACCCCATGCAGCAGCTATAAAATCAAACGGCAAGTACAGTAGGGAGTATTGCAGAAATGTGAGACTAGCATGCTATTTGTTGTGCATGCTGCTTCTACTGGCACGCTGTAGAACTCAAATAGGCTTATGGAGAAAAAGAAATCCCACTGTCAATGACATGCTGAGGATGAAAAAGAAGATCACAATTTTCTTTTCCAACACCCAAGATACGACTCCCAGTCTATACATACACCAGCAGAAAAAATCCAAACCTTCCTGAAGAAAGGAAAATAGAAAAAGATATACTCCTCTTACAGTTCCAGAGAGCCTTCCTAGCTGACAATGAAGCATGATTTTTGATGCTTTTCAGAGAGTAAAGAAATCTTTAAATGTAGCTTCCTTTAGATTACATTGCAGCCAGCACATGGAACAAGGATGTCAGACTCTAGATCTGGTCACCTTGCACAAATTTCTCTATTTGGACGTCAGTCTAAGAAGAGTATCAGTAACTAATGCCATTCTTGAAAAAAACCCAAAGCAACAACAAAAAAAACCCTGACTGCTGTTGCAAAGATACACAGAAATCAAAGACTGAGGAAGGGCTACTTAGGTCAGGGGACATTCAAGGCAATAAACAGGATACATCTAAAACAGCAGAGGAAATCCCTGTAACTACATATTTGAGGTAAAGAAAATGAAAAGTAGGTTCAACAAGTTTTTCCCTGTGGGGGGGGGGGGAAATAAGCAAACCCTAAAAAAACCAAAACCCAAACCAAACCAACCAAACCACAAAACCCAAGCTTAATAGCAGTAGGAAACCTGATGACCATAGGTCATCCAGACTGCTGTGGAACAGAAGTGAGTGACAATGCTGGTGCTGAGCAGGCAGGCAGCATACAAGGGCTGTAGGCTCTACCACTGGAGGCCAGTCCTGCTTTACAGATCGGGGTAGGGGAAGAATGAGCAAAACCGCCCAATCCACCTCCTGCTCATTCCACAATGCTTCCAAATCTTTTATATTTTTAATTTCTGATTTGTCATGGACAATCCAGCAACAGTCTTCTTATTACTGTTGCTCTAGAAATTGATAAAACACAGCACAAAAAGCTTCCACTTGACACCCTCACATTTGACACAGAGCACTCAAGCCTCATTTCTTTCCTTCCCCCCTGCTTATTTATGTCCTTGAAAGACAGAAAAAAGTGAGTTAGAGAAAAAAAGGCAGAAAAATTAAACAGAGCAGCAGAGCATATCTGAAGTTTCATGAAAGCAGTAAAAACTGAAAGGACATGGTTCTGGCACAGGTTTATGTTACTGGAACTGAACTGACTGGAAGTGAAGATTTCTCTGCTGCTTGGACCTAGAATGCGGTATTTTTATAACATTTGCTGTCTGCTAATCCCTTCTGATAGAATAAAAGAAGAGGAAAAACAATCTCACATTATACAACCACTTGAAAAGACCATCTATACTTAAAAGCTGTACAGATAAACAGATAAAAATATTGGCTGATACCCATCCTTAGTCAATCATTAGAGTACATCTACATCTGTACATTATCACACAAAAGAATAAAGCGAACATACATTGATCAATACAACTTGACTTGACAATTTATACTCAGCTGTATTTTCTCACAGGTCACCTAAACCATTTATACAAGTACCCATCTATGAAAGACTAAGTCTACATTGATTCAGAGCAATGGAACTGGAATGCAAATTACAGGCATGTATGTATTTTTTCCCAATTAAGTTTCAAGATGACAACTGGGCAAAAAATTGAAGGACACCAGAGTACATTTTCCATGTGCTTTTTTTAAAGGTGCGAAATCTGAAGATATTTTTCAGTTACTATTTAATGTGCAGGAAAGTGACTAATGGTATATACAACACACAATGGTCATATACCTGCATGTGTAACTGGCTGCATGCTCAAAAACTGTGTGAAAAAGATGGGAGGGAGAGCATGAATAACATTTGGGGGTGAATGCACATATGGATGGGGTCAGTTTGAAAATGTGGAGGGAGAATTCCAGCCATCTATCACAGGGAAAATAAATACCTTATTATTGTCACACTTTTAATATTTCTTGTCATAAGACCATAAAAATGGAATACAAGCATTTTGAAGTAGTTTGTGAAACAAAGAATTCCCTTTTTCATGGTTTTAGACATAGTTTTAATATTATTGATACTACTACCCATGTTGTCTTGTATGATGTTGTATTTCACTCCCTTTTTTTATTATTGATACTGAGCTTCTAAAGTTACTAACAGAACAACTGATGATCTTCTGTGGTTAATAAAAAGTGCCACCAATTCTTTGAGTTCCATGGTAACTTATGACAATGTCAATTGCAACATTTATTTCTGTTTTTAAAAATCCAAGTGTTATTTTGGGCATGATTCCATAGAGCAAATTACAGCCATTGGTACAAAAGAAAAACTCCCTTCCTGTGAGGGTCACCATAGCTGCACCTCGTATTTTGGGGGACCTGAAGAGAACTTAGCAATTGATTCTGCACTAGACTTCAGCATGAAGTGGCTTTCACTGCCCTCCCCAAAAGGTGTTGGCAACCATGAAGTAGAGAATTAATTTTAAAAGTAAGGAGACATTCTTTCCATATACTCTTTGTAAGATTTTCAAAGTCACTTGTGAAACTTTAGAGGTCTGATTTCTATTGGAAGATAATGAAACCTGGTAGTTTATAAATACTGCTTCTTGACAACAATTAGTCATAATTACTTTCATGTGTCCTATGAGTAGTAAGTGCCATTTTGTACACACTAATACGGATATAGGTAACCTAACACTTAATTTAGCAACATATACACCTTGACATGTCAGGTGAGACTGTCCCATCAAATGTAAAACCACCCACTTTTGAGGTGGATAGCTGTCTGCTAGGGACTGGAGAGAGTGTTAATCTCTATATTTTAACAAATATTATTGAAAAATACTATTTGTAAAACATAGGCAAGTTTAATGGTCCATGTAGTTAATTTTATATCAGTAGGTAAAAAAAATCTAGCTTATTATATGGAACAGAATTACAACGAGTACATATAAATTTAAAATCTGTAATACAGCAATATTCTGAAGAGTGACAGGTGCATGGTATAGCACCCAACATGACAGATGGCTTTTTAAGGAAAATGGGAGATGACAGTGAAATATAGACTAGATAGCAAAATAAATGCATTACCTGGAACCTCTTTTCAGCAGCAGGTGGGAAAGAGAAAAGGATTACTTATACAAGTTTGGCTGAAAGATAGGTGTCAGTGAATTACTCATAGAAATAACTATTACTGACTTTCTGGTTTGTTTACTTCTTTTTACAGCAAGAGGATTATTCACAACTTCACAGGTTATGTAAATCTATTACTTGTACAGAAAACTCCCATTCACTTAAATGGGAATTATGAGGAAAAAAAGCAGAAGCAGAGCCAAGAACCTCTGAAGTATATCAAGTGTTTAAAGAGTTGGCAAATACAACATCTGAATTACTCAAAGAAAGGTTGTGCAGGTTTAACTTCACAAAATGAGCTGATGGATAGAACAGTCAAATCACTATTATAAAGACAGATGTTCAAGCTCATTCATAAAAATACATTCAGTTATACTAAAATACAATTATTTCAGCTAGTCAAAATGTGCGGGGTACTGAGCACTGCTGATATATACTGCTTTTTCATGATTATTTCATTCAGTTTATGTTGACTGAAGATACTTCAACATCCATTTCACAAATCTGTTGCACTGGATGGGTTTTCTCACTCACCTATGATGCTTATTCCTGTACTCTGACTAGCAAAAAATCATTATTAACCATTCAGAATATATGGACATGTACAGATTATTTCCTAGTATTTGTACTATGCATGGGCACTTCTTATTAGTCTCATGAGCAGGTACACTTCCTTCGTTTTGATTTGCTTTTCTTTTAAGAACTACCAAGCAATTGCACTGCAGCAAGGAGGACACTTGTTAGCAGTCTTTTTCACTTACAAGTGAAGTAAAAATAATTTTTCTCATCTGTTAGGGAAAACTTTCCACAAAATTAAGAAAACAGTGTTAACAACTTACAAATGGATTTCCTGCCCCCCTGCCCCCATGAAAAGAATCTTTTTTAAAATACTTGATACTTTGGCAATCGTTTTTTTGATTTTCTCAAAGACAGGAGTTCTGGCTCAGCTTTAGGAGGAAAAAATAATTACCTCAAACTGGTAAAGGGAGACCATTCCTTTCCATAATGTTGTTCTATACCTCAGAGACACAGTAAGACAAGTAACTAATCATAATGAAATTCTTGCTTGGGAAGAAATCTCCAGAAATTTCAGGGGTTTCAATCTCAAGGTTAATGCTCTGCTCTAATCTACATTGCAATGTGCAAAAACTGATTCACAGAAAAGTCAGAAAGCAAGCAGGGCTTTTTGAAGCTAAGACTGTTTAAAAAAAAGTTACCTTAAAATTTAAACTTTCCTGTAATCTAATTTATTCTGCAAAGAGGGTGAACAGAAAGAGAATAGAAGCTGTTAATAGAAAGTCCTTTGCTATAATTTTTAATTTTGATTCCTGGCTTCTCCCCTCTCCCAAATCACCCAAGTTGACAGAACGAAACAAAATGATAAAGCTGATTTTTTACAAGAACAACTTTGGAATTTGTGCTATTTACATTCATATCACAAGTCACTAGATGGGCAAGCAGAAAAATCTATTGCAATCTGTTCGTTTATCCAAAACATATGGAAGATGTTTGTATAAAATCTCTGAATTTCTCTTTCAGTGACAATTACAAGGTGATAATTGGGAGGTTCAGATAAAGGAAGTCTCATTTCAATAGCTTCCTCCCTCTCTTACCCCCTTGGAAGTACAATTTATGTTTATTTACTGTCTGTATCAGGTAAAAAAAAAAATAAAAATTCTTCATTTCTGGATCAGTAAAGGACTAGTTTGTAAAGAGTTCCCTTCCCATTATGAATACACAAGGATCTAAAATATATTATGTATTTCTGCATAGGTCCTTACACGCACAGAAAAAAAAAAAAAAAATCAAGACAAAAAAAAATTTTGAAGCAATTTTGCCACAATGCCTGGTTGCATCTGGGAGCAGATGCAGAGCATCTGAAGAATTTTCAAAAGATGTAAAACACTGGGATCTGCCCATACAAGAAATCTCAGCTTGTAGACTGAGTAATGGTATGTATTAAGAAAACAGGACAGTGATGACTATGAGAGATAAAACTCTTGCAGAGGTTTTAGTTGCCTGCAAATCTTTAGTATGGTACATTTATGGTGAAAAATTAAACCAGAATTCCTGGTTGTTCAATTTTGAGATCTGTTCATACAGCCATTTTTCTCTAAGGTACATTAATCACAGCATCAATCCTTAACAGTGAAAAAAAAAAAACCACGTGAATGCTTCAGGGAGTATAAGAACAGAGTAAGAATGGAGTTGTATTCTCTAGATTCTTCTCCCAACATCCAGTGATTTGCAGTTCAGGGAGCAGCTGAGCCAGAAGTGTTTTCAAAATTAACAGACCATGATGGATTTTTCTTCTGAGCAATTTACCTAGTATAAAAACATACTCGGAAAGAACTTTTAGTACAGGATAGAAACAGTTTTCCAATTTCTTGCTGTAGGTGAACCTGCTTTGGCAGAGGGGTTGGACTAGATGATCTCCAGAGGTCCCTTCCAACCCCAACCATTCCGTGAATTTATTTTGTGCTGCTGAATATCCATGAAGCTATTACACAACCACATTAGACACAGAGTAGACATATTATCACATAAAAATATTATCTTTTAATATTATTATTCAGAAATTATAAATAATTCAAATTACAGACATAAGTGCTGTCTCACAGCCAATGCCATTTTGTGTTTTCAATAGAAGTTAAAATAAGTATTCCAGTATCAATGATATATTACGGTAATTTTACTACTAGAGCATGGCATATCATTAGTAGAGGTGGCTTTAAACAACACTGCAAGCAGATCTTAAACTGATTGAATCTGAATGAAATCTTGAGTTCTAGCATCTGCAAGTTTTTCAAAAAATGTGCCCGAAATTTAGACTTCAACATATTTCTATTCAGCATATCAACTTTTACAACACTAGCATTTCTTATTTCAAAAAATACTTGTCTCTCTCTTATTTCTTTTGAATACTGAATTGCTTATCTAAGATGGTTACTAAAAACAAAAGTCCCAGAAAAAGTGGGGAAAAATCATGTTTGTCCTGAAGTAAAAACAAAGGCAGTGTTGCCTAGAAGTACGAGTTGATGTAATTCACATCTCAAGTTAATGTGTTAGCCACAAAAATTATTAAGACACAGAAATGTCTACTGCTCCTAGTAAAACTGTGCTGTTGTGAAGGGGAAAACAACATTTTTTTAACTTCTGCTATTTCAAGGAAAAAAAAGGTAGTTTACAAGCAAAACCAGAAAATTGAAAACAGGACACTACTTCTGCTGATCAGCAAAAAATAATCCTTTGTTCAGATTCACATTCTGGGAATTGCATTTACATTTTGAATTAAGGGTCACTGGAAGAAAATTATTATGCTATACCAAAAGCAGAATCCCATGTTCCATACTTCACATAGAAGTTACCTACCCACCAGACTACAGTGTTTTGCAGCCTCTTTTGCTTATTCTCCCTTTCTGACCTTAGGGATCTTTTCATTCCTTTCTGCAGAGCTTTAGAGAAAAGGAGTGACACTGTTTTGACCTATCTGGTGATGTGTATTTGAATTTTTGATAGACTAAATGGCCTAAAACGCTGATTTCCTATGTCATCCTACTATTTACAACATAAAAGGTGAGATCAACTCAACCTTTCTAATAACACTAGAATCAAAATCATTTCACTGAATCAATTTTTGGTACCCAGTTGAGTAATTTCTAACTCTAAACCCAGGCCACAGTCTCGGACTACAAGTCCTGGCCTCACAGATGTACTTTAGTGAGACAGAAGCAGGAAACAGATGAGATATCAGGTATGCTTCTTCCTTTAGTGTTCTTCTATTGTTTATCTCATTTAATACTCTAGATACTAAAAATCATATTCCTTCTATATACAGGGAACTTCACTACTCAGCTAGGGTTTATGAATTCCACTTCAGCTGTCAGGTACAACAAGTAGTAATTATGTTTTTGGTATGGTCTTTAAGGTCTTTCTACATAGCTTTAGAGTTCAGTTATATGCTAGTATTTACCTCCATCTTCTCCAATAGAGAATTAGAGTCTTCCTACACTCAATAGTAAGAGAGGTTCAGATATTTTCTGATAAGGAATCTCCTTCATACACAAAGTCAAAATCACTTGAAAGACATTCTCAGAAGCAAATTCTACATTGGTGTGTACTTGTGATCCTGGGAATACAAGGATTCCAATAAAATGTTACTTCAAGAAACATATCTCTTCTAATGTTTGGCAGTAGATATAATAAGCCTATGTGTAACATGGAGATGTACTACCCACGCTCTGAGCAGTTGTATTGGGTTTGCACGGCAAGGTTTTGGTAGCAGGGCGGGGCTACAGGAGTGGCTTTTGTGAGAAGCTGCTAGAAGATTCCCCTATGTCCGATGGAGCCAATGCCAGATGGCTCCAAGACGGCCGCGCCCATCAGCAACAGTGGTAGCACCTCTGGGATCACATATTTAAGAAGTGGAAAAAAAAAGCTGCACAACAGCAGCTGGAGACAGAAGTGAGAACATGTGACAGAAACAACTCTGCAGACACCAAGGTCAGTGAATCATAGAATCATAGAATCATTATGGTTGGAAGCAAACTCAAAGATCATCAAGTTAACCGTATACCCGATGCCACCATGCCCGCTAAACCCACTAAACCATGTCTTGAAGTACCACATCTAAACGTTTTTTGAACACCTCCAGGGATGATGACTCCACCACCTCCCTGGGGAGCCAATTCCAATGCTTAACAACTCTAACAGTGAAGAAGTTCTTTCTAATGTCGAGCCTGAACCTCCCCTGGCGCAACTTGAGACCATTTCCTCTTGCCCTATCGCTAGTTACTGGGGAGAAGAGACCAACCCCCACCTCGCTACAACCTCCTTTCAGGTAGT